ACTCCCCAAAATTGTCTTGAAAGTACTCAAATGCTGTGAACAGCATTGATAACTTTATAAATGTGACACGAGATAACTTAAACTCAAACCTATAATTCTAATGCTTATTAAAATATCACAACAAACTTTTAAATAAACATTAAAATACCCTTACCTATAAAATATTAACACGTTGAATGCCCTGTTAATTTTGCATGGCTTGCCCATCTGGCCAAACTGTAAATAACTACAAACTAAATTTGCAATTTTAGACAGATTTTACTAATTTTTTAAAAGTGGTGAATCTGAAAAAAGTGGTGAATTATATAAACCTACGAATTGTTTAGAAATAGTGGTGGATAAAAATCTACTAAATTGAATTTACTAAACCAAGAATCACAATTAATAAACTACCACTTGAAAATATTTATTCGCTGTCCGGAGTAAGTTGACATCTCTGTGTATATAAATAAAACTATTTTTGGGTGTTCTATATTACATTAATTTCTTCAAACCATTTTAGTAACTAAACTCAGTGGCACGACAGCCCATAGAGGGCCAAGGCCTACTGTGCCCATCTCAGTTTCCTTGACCTAAGGCTCTGGGGTGCAGGAGCAGATGTTCCGGTTTAGGTGGTCAGCCGAACGCGGAACCCCCCAGTGTTTAGTTCCCAAGCATGCTTGGTACTCCTTTATCGACCCACTGAAGGGATGAAAGGCTAAGTCAACCTTGCCCGGCCCGAGGATCGAACCCAATACCTGTGGCACGGAAGCGTGAAGCGCTACCACTCAGCCACCGGGCGTCATTTCCGTAGCTATAATAATATAAAAAAATTAAAAAATTACTCGAATTATGTGTTTCTAATAATCTTGGCTTCACCCGTCACCCCCAAGGCATTCAACTAATAAATACTCAAAATTGACTACATTTGGCTTTAATATAGTGATGTAAATTAGTTTCAAAATTTTATGTTTCGATTGCAACTCACCTACTTACATAATGTTTTGTGCAATTTCTTACAAACAAGAAGTTTTTTAGGAATGCCAAAATCTTACGAGCTATTGCTCAAACCTTTTTTCTCAAGAAATGTTCTAGAAAAAATCCAATGCATTCAAGTCAAGCGAAAATTGTGGTCATTTTTATGCTGTAATACAGTCAGGAATGCGCGCTTTGCACCATTTTTTAGTGCCTTCAGCTCAGCGTGATGGAGCGGAATTCTGCAGTCAGTTTCTTTTTGGTTTTCAAGCAACTTTTACGAAAGGAAACTTAGTACCTTCCAAAATAAGTTTGAGATGGGATTTCTTGTTAATATTACATCGGCAAATAAAAGTAGCTATTTCCCACTAGCACTTATCTCACACTAAACCTACAATTTGATGTCATTGATGCAGTTCAATAACGGAAGAAAATCCGTGGAAATCTGCTGACCATACTCCATTATTACGGCCATTATTATTTTATTCAATCGGGAACAGTTTCTCAGCTAGGAAAGTTGATTTCTGGCGTCGATTACTTGCAGCTCATAAAGTTCCTTAACCCTTTCGTTACCAGTGCCGTATTTAGCCAGCATTAGCATGATACAGTTTGAGAACCGGCTCAATTGCTTCATACTTTCACTGGCTAATATTACATTAACCTATAATGGATTAATATCGTAAAAAATATATTGTGAATAGGTTTGATATGTTTTGTTAGACAGAGATTTTCCTTTGGTTTTAAAATCGGTAGAAAAAGCAGAGAGAAAGTACGTCGTTTGCAATGCAAACGACAAAAGATTAAAATCTAAATATGAGTATTAAAACTGTAATGTAGGTTTGTACGTCGATTCTAGTTATACAATTTATCATACCAAAACAAATAAGATCTTTTGAATGATCCTAAATTTCCTTTTTATTCATAATACTTACAAAATTTCCAAATATAGTGTTATGTAACACTTCGAACATCAGCTTATCGACATGCAATGTGCTCATTTCGAGGCACTGTGTACCGTTCAGTGACGTCACTTCAGCGGAGCGGAGTGGATAATTAGACCGGTTATCAAAGGGTTAAATTTGAAAAAATTTATGTGTTCACTTTCGGCTTTAGATCCCAAACCTATACTCTAATCGATCATCAATAAAATTAAATAAGCTATAGCTTCACAAAAAATAAAAGGCAGTCTCGATCTTCACCATAACTTTTTAAATAATTAAATTCTCCTTAAAATGCATAAAATGAAACTAACAAAATAATGCATTTACAAACTAAGTAAAATTTCAAGTTTTCTAGATTCGCAGTATAAAAAGGACTATTTTTAATCATTTCCAGATTCCAGAACATCTGAACATTTATATTGAGAAAATAGCTTCTAATACAATTTTCTTAAATAACTGAAAGTTTCAAGATGAAAGGGAAACTTTCATTATTTCAAATTTCACCATCTATTTTTTTTTCTTAATTTTTAACTATTTCAGGTCAATTCTTGTGTCAAAAATTAAAAATATGGTTCTAGGCGAATTAGAAAGTAAATAATAAAAAATAGTCATAAGAGTGAATAAGAACAGTTTCTTTATAGAAACTAAGCCACTTGCGAAATAATTAAAATATGGATGCGTCTCTTAAGGAGACAAAGGCAAGAAATATTGTAGTTCTAAAATAGTTTCACTGAAAGTACGTCAGGCATGTCAACTTTACCGAATAATAAAATTAGTCATTTAATGTAAGGGCAATTAAGTAGTAATTTAATTTATTACTGACTATTAACAATAATGAAAGAAGACATAATGGAGCAATGCTTAGCTTTAGTTCTTTATATAATGAAACAGTTAAGTGCAGGGTTTTGGATAGGAAATTAATTTTGAAAAGATTTTAGAAGAAAAATATTTAAAAAAAGAAATAAATATGGAAAAGGGAATTTCTGTTCTTAACTTTGCTTCGAACAGTTTATCTTGTAATATAACTTTCAAAGTTTTTTTTTTTAAGCAAAAATAACAAGTGTGAAACGAAAGTTTGTGAGAGTTTGTCACTTTCTGCAATTATTAGCCAAACTCGCTGTGAAAGACCTACAGTAATGCAATTAAACCTGCAAAATTGTAAACATTTATAACCTGACCACTTGTCGCGTTGATCACTGAAATATATATGATTTATTGAATACTGTTATTAAAGGCTACTCTGAACTCTTCATAAGTTGAACAGAAAAAGTATTTTTATGACAGTATGTTAAGAATTACAACTTCTAATACTCAACTTAAAGGCATCTAAGCTAGACCTAAACTCCTTTGGAATTTGACCCTTCCATATGACCATGCAAGTATGGAAAAACTACAAGATATTTTTATATAAAACGCTATAAATTTATAAATAGCTCCAACAACCACAGTCGCAAAAATATTTAAATGAATATAATATGTTTTCCAAATGTATTTGTACTTGTGTACTTATATTTTAAGAAATCCTTCATGTTACTGGCATAGAACATTAACAAGTCTTGCATATTGGTTTGTTTTACTAACTCGTTTAATGCTAAATTTATATAATTACCAGAATGAATTAAAATTTGTTAATCTCATTTATTAAGATATAAAGAGTATTGGTTAAAAACTTTTAAAATCCTGTTAAATTTAACAACATTAATCTGTATTTTGATTGGTAACATAAAGAAAACTTGTTAGAAATAATTTTAAAAAAGAAAAAGAAACTGTGATTCTCCCCCCGCCCCCAATAAGTTAACCACCTATCTAAATCGACTACTAAAGCAATGCCCTACAAGTGGCTAACTTACAGAAGTTTCACTGTTCCTTGCACTTTCGCAAAAGCATTTTTTTTTTAAGTGTAGAGCTTATTGACTCATTGACAAATACATACGATAGTACGTGCTCAAGCAAACAGAATCAAATGAAGTTACAAAGTAAAATTTAAGAAAACTCTAGCAAAAACATAAGGATATAAAGTCACTGGGGTACCTAGGATCGTATAACTATTGTTTATTCAAAGACTTAATAAAGGGAGAGGACAACAAAGAGGCAAGAGTCAACTATTTTTCAAGAAATATAAAATATGACATTTCTGCGAATTAAGAATATTATTTCTAGGACGACCAACAGAGAAAAAAAAAACAATTTGTAGTCTCTCTCGTTATATTTCGAATAAAGTTTCGTAAATGTGCTAAAAGACGAAACTAAATATTATGAAAATTATCCAAATAAACAACAGAAACAATATGGAGAAGAAGAAAAACTTTCAAAGCTTCTATAAAAACAAAAACAGATAAATTTTTAAAAAAATCTAACACTATATTGTTAAGAATTGGATGACCACATAAGAACAATTTGAAGAATAGACGAGATGATTTTTAGAACTGAAATGCTTAAGGTTGAAAAATGTGATTAAACGAACTGGATTGGCTTCAAAACGCAATTAAAGTTTGAAAAAGTTCTTGCTTTCTTTGAAAAAAATTTTTGTTCACAGAATCACTACCAATACAAATGCTTTGTATTGGTTGTGCAACTCCTTCAGAAGAACGAGTTTCGGAATTTATTTCTTACTTTAACACAATATGAGCTTTCGTAAAATGTTAAAAAAAAAAGTTTATTTTTGGAAAAGTTTACAATATGGTCATTGTCTCAAAGATCTAAGTGTAAGGAAAGTATTTCTCAGAAATATATTTTTATAGTGGAATGGAATTTTTCCTACCGTTGGAAAATAACTTGTATATCTCAAATTAAAAACTAAGATTTAAGGAAGAGTTATGAAGCAATAATATTATAAATATAACTCTCTTAAGAAATATTCTTTTTAAAAAAAAACTTACAATTTTATTTTTCAAAAGTTAAAAATTGTTTTCACGAGTTCAAAATAAGTGGTAAAAATTTTATGACTTCTAAAAAAATTTATAAAGAAAAGCTTTTACATCGGTAATGAAACAGGGAGTAAATTAAAAAAGGGGAAAAAATATGCATATATATTTTTATGTTATTACGTATCATACAATTGGAACTAATTATCGTTGTATCGACTCTCAGGTTTGAGATAACAAATTGAGAAAAATAAAATATTTATTTGCAAATAAAAAACATATATTGAATATAAAAGAAAATGAAACATTTCAAATTTTTTGTATCTAAACAGGATCAGTTTAATAAAAACATTTATCAATACCACTAAGGTGCAATTTCAGGTTTTGTGTTCATCTCCTGCAAAACAAAGAATACAACAGAAAATTAATTTATTATCCAGAATTGATTTAATTAATTGCAATAAAAAAGTTCAATTTCAGGAAAAATAAAAATGACAAAAATAAAATAAAACTATGTACTTTAAAGTACAATATACCTTATTACCACCACCGATATACCTTACAAAATTTCAAAAATTTAGTAACAAGTTTCTGTTAATACTGATAACCAAAATGAATAAACACTCTTTAGGAAACCTTAGACATGCTACTCCAAAATATGCTAAAGTTTTGAAGGATAAAATAGCGAACTTTTGTTCATTTTGAGGTAAAGAACTTTAAATTCTAATGATTACTGAAAACTATGTGATTGCAATACTTGTTGCTATAATTTAAAATTTTTTTTTTTTTTNTTTTTTTTTTTTTTTTTTTTTTTTTTTTTTTTTTTTTTTTTTTTGGTTAACTAAATTTCAGTGACGATGAATGAAATAGTAACAAAGGATATGCACCATAGATAAAATTAAATAAAATTCAAAATTTAAGATATGGTTAAATATTATTGTATTGAAAATAGTATTGTATTAATTTTCGTATTAACGAAATTCGTTTGATTTCTATTCGTATGGCCGGATATACTTGGTACCAGATATAACTTCTTACCACAAAATGTTCATGCTTCTAAAATAAAAAGTCGTATTGTAAAATAATAATAGTTACCTTTTTTGAATTTTCAATTAATTTTAAAAACTATGCGGTTCACTCTTACTAAAGAAAGTCTTATTTTTAAAAAAAAAACATTTCTATCACTGTATAGAATATTTACTTTAAAAGCACTTCCTTTATTTTCCTAAGAAATAATTTAACCGAAGTTTTAATTTTTAAGTCCATTTTAAGGTTGTTGAACTCAAGTCAAACTAAACTTAGTACATTCACATTTCTGGATTAATTCCCTTTTAGCGTGATGAACGTTTATCGATCTTTGACCATTATTTTTCCACAAAAGGTTTTTTTTTTATTTCTATTAAAACGCTTTTTTCACTGACAAAATATTTAATGGGAAATATTAAACTTTCATGAATAACAATAGCACACTGCAAAATAGAAAACAAAAACAATTCATTTATTTTTTTCACTTAGATGTTTTATTAATTCGGCAGTTCACGAACAATTTTGATTGAATATTGTAATTTTTTTTATATAATAGCGGTAAAGTAATATTTTTTTATTGCATTATTAGTTTGGGACTAAATGAAATATAAATTTGCATTTTTAAAAATTTCCTTAAGAAAATTGATTATATCATTAAATCAAAAACTATAAACGCAATAAAAAAAACTAAAGAACCGCAGAAAGCTGCATTTATACACAGTGATTAATAGGATTATTTTACCAAGATGTGACACCTGTCGAGAATACCGTTAAGTACAAAAGAATAAAATTTTGTTTAAATTTATAAGGCATGCGCAAAGCGATTATACAACTTTCAAAGTTACAATTTTCAATTTTTTCTCCGAAACATGAACCTTGCAATATAAAAAAAGCGGCACCAGGCAGATATGAAGAAAAAAGTACTTTATAGACTTTCGACGCTTCAACTCTGTGGTTCCTTGGGGTATTCATCCACTTTTCCTTCGAGGTTAATATCTTCCTTACCTGTACTATGCATGATTCTTTATCGCCTTACGAGATCATCGCCAACAAAACCAATTATTTTTATTTTTTGAAATGCCGGATGCTATTTAGGCAAAGTATGAAATAATCGTCCTGATGAGGTTATTATGTAAATGATGTGCATGTTACTGTGAATGACCAAAATCGGCGGCTGTTGACTTTCACCGGTGAATGTTGACAATCAAATTAGTCGCTTTGGTGAATGTCCGAAATATTTATTACATCCGATTTGATATTAATTTATTCGTGGATATAATTACATTTATTCGATATTTTAATACTTACTGACGATAGATTAGAACAAACATCAGTGTTTGGAGTATCGGGCAAATATATACCGGGCAATGGCACTTGACCATAAAAAAACATCAGTGTAGGATATACCTGGCAAATGTATAATGGGCAATGGCACTTAACCAGACCTAATATGACTAGACCTTTGGTAAATGTCCGAAATATATACTAGGTCTAGTGCCATTTTTGCTATAGCTTAAATATTTAAAAAAAATTAAACAAAGCGTTTGAATCAATTTTAAACTGATAACGAAATTATTGCTTTAAAATTAAAAAAATAATAATAAAAACTGCGCCTGTAAAGTATAATTGAAGTAGTTGCTTTATACAGCGCATGTGCGGAAAAAAATTTCAAAAAAAATTATCCAGGTGCATCTAAAAGTGGATGAATATCCCAAGACACTTTACTAAATATATCATTCTAATTTAAAGATTTTTTTTAACATAATAAATTTCGACGGGAAAAAGTGTTGCCATTTGAAAATTTTCAAACTGTCACTTTAACCATATTCGTAGAAGTTCAATAAATGTTGGCACACATCCTTTAATACATTTTCACAAAATTCAATTCCATTCTCCTGTGCAGCATGATTTCTTATGGATCATATGCTGGCAAAGATCAAGTAAAACGGAGTAAAGTAAAACGGAGTAAAGTAAAACGGATCAAAGTTGAAGAAAAGATAAAAAATATTGCTCTGAGAAATCACCATTTAAAATTTACGAAAGCTTTTATTATTAGATTTACACCATTAAACATTAATTTAAACTTATATTTTTAGAGCAATTATCTCTACAGTCAAAAGTAAGTAAAGCATAGATTTTTAAAAAAAATTGCAGTAAGAAAGTTCAGGGAGAAATTATTACCAAGTCTAAATTCCAACTTATAAGTTGTAAAGTTCTGAGGGTAATTTTTTTAAGTTCAATAATTAGTTTTAATTGTTATACAAAAATACTAATTAATGTTCAGTTAATAATAACTATTCCTCTAAAAAATGAGCAAAACTATGAAAACTTTCCCCCTCATAAATTTGATCTCCCCTAGTTGACCACACTGTGATCATTAATAAGAAATAGGTAAATTCTTCACAACATAAGCTCGCATTCATAAATTCCACTTCATAATTCTTTTGGCAAAATTTGCCTTTTTAATACTTACTTTCTGTAATTGGAGAGAACACATTAATCCAAGAAGAGGATTTCTTTCAATTCTGTCAATTTCAAAACAGGGATTTGGGCCGCGACCCTTCATTGATTCTCTCAGTAGCTTCGCGTCTTGATATAACAACTCATCGCTGGTATAGCCCGGTTCATGTAAATCAGTATCGAATCTGTCGACAAACAGGCTTTCAATGGACTGCTCAGACTCATTATCCTTAAATATTTTTTTATATTTTTCTTCATAGTAACCACCTTGGGGTCGAATCTGCAATATTTGGAATTTAAGGTTAGTTAAATATCAACTTTCAGCTTCGTGTGGATTAATTTCGTTAAATCGTGATTTTATTGTTATATGCTTAAGGACATCATGAATAAGTTTTTTTTTTATGATATGAATTTTTAGTTTTGATATTTAAATTATATTTTTTCTAATTTAAATGTAAAACAAGCCGGCGAGGCAACTATCAGAGAAAAAAAATAATAGAAAGTGGTCGCAAAAATAGTAATGTGACTAATGCAACAGGCATAGATTTGATTTCATTTTAATTTTACTATACCTAATCTTTTTTAATTCTAAGTATACTCACATAACTTTTATTTTTGAAAACGAAAAAAAAATAAATAAATAAAACGGGAAAATATAAAGGAAAAAGGGAAAAATTGTGGTCAAATGCTATTTTTTCTTTTCTGAATTGACATCGATAAACACCACAGCATTTCGAATCATGGGTTGCAAAAACTATTTCAATTGATGTTTGTCCTCTTGTCTTCGGATTGGTTTTCAAATCCTGCCTATGTATGTGTTTCAAGACGTCACAAAATACTTTTCCTTCGTCAGTATTCATATTTAGGGGAGGCCCCGCCCATTTAAGGAGTATCGCTTATATTTCTGTATAATATTGAGTAATAATCAATATTTTTGTATGTTTCTATTGTTTTATCATCTAATTAAATAATGCAAAAAGAATAAACCAAAAAAAGAATAGTTTACATTACAAAAATAGAAATTTAAAAAAACATTTTTTCAGCTCTTTTGAAAATGTGTCGGGTAGCCCCACCCAGTTACAAAAATTATGTTTTTTAACTGTTTTTCAGGTGTAAATGAAGATGACCTATGTATTGACAATAGATAAACCTCATTTATCATTTTTACCACAAAATTATTTTATTTATTACATATTTATATACTTTTAGTGAATTCTCTCATTTAATAACAATCATTTAATAACATCAATATTTGTTGTTAAAAATGCATATAACATTCAAATTTGAAGCAATAAAATAATAATCTTTGCAACCGTACATTTATCGACGAAATAAAATTGGGCTGTGATACCCGACATTCATGTGAGAGGGGCTACCCAAAATCCAATTTTTTTGTAAATTTGTAATTACTCGAACAATTTTTCACACATAAATTTCTTTCTTTGTGCAAATTAAACTACATACTTTGATGTTGTATGTATGGAAAAAATTATTTTTTTAGCATTAAAATGAAGTTTAATCGAAACATTCAACCAATTTTCCTTAATTTCATGACTACTGTATTCAACATATTTTCAAAACTATTGTTTACCATGCTACCAGCTGCATAAATGCTTGAAACTTTGAAAATAATCTTTTTTTAATATAACAATTAATGTCCAATGGCCCATTGACTTGAAAAAATATTCTATACATATGAAATTGACAATGGACGGGGGTAGCCGACACTTCCCTATATTAAACTCACCATCAAGATAGTAATTATAAGTTAATAATAAAAAGAATATAAAAATACTTTAAATTATTATTATGTAAATACATTAAAAATGCCTGCTGGTGAAAAAGAAATTCTAAAAAAATTAGCAAACAGCTGTGGCCATAGCAACGCATGCAATGACGACGCATGCGCACTGTTTACTATTACTCTTGAACACAGTTGAAAAGTGTGATGACGTCCAAATAAGGTGTGCACGCCATCAAACCCAAAACAACACCCATTTTGCCAATGGGTGAGGAAAAAAAACAGTGGTGATAGAATATGGTCCAAGCATGTGAACTCGCTAGCAAATAAATTGATAACGAAATAATTTGTTTACTATTTTCTTTTTTTATTTACCTTGAATCTTGCCTACTCGAAAAATAGAAAATTGAATTATGCTACATTTTTTTATCACAATAAGAATTAAGACATTTTAATGTAAATATTTATTATCAACAACAAAAAAAGAAAAAAAATTAGATTTTTGTTTTTTGTTTCTTAATCTAATATATCTAGTTCTTATTAATTTGAATAATATTTTTAGGGACTATAACATGAATAATTAAACCACTTGATTACTAGTTAACCATAAAAGCGCCAATTAAACAAATGGTGAAGTATCGAAACGTTCTTTTGCGAATATTCAGTGCTTTAGCTGGTACCATTTCATAAACTGCATTATATGGTATTCGAAACAAAAAATAAAGAATAAAATGCAAAAGTATGGAATTTCGTAATACATTAATAAGTGCCAATATTTTGATATTTGACAAGAAAGTAATGTTTCGAAATAATTAAAAAAAAGTTTTTCGATAACTTACTTGCATATCGAGCAGTCCTTTGATCATTCCACTAATAGCAAATGGAGAAAACAAAAATCGTTCATTATCTGGCATTGGATCTTGGGCATTTGTAAATGCTTGTAAGCATGCACATAACATAAACAAATATGACGAGAAACTGTAAATAAAACATGAATCATTATAATACATTTAACTCCAATAGACCTATGGAAGACATTAACTTAATCCTTTAATGAAGAATTTTCAATAAACATATTTTTCATGTTTTTTCCACTATTCAGTATTAATTTAGTGCAAAATAGGTGAAATATATATTAAATTTAACATTTTACTAATTTTGGTTTTTGACAATGTCCTTTTTTGTGTTAAAGGTAAAATTTCCCAAACATAGCTCACTTTCAAGCAATTTTTTTTTTAAATTTGCTCTTATTTGCAGTTATTTGGTTCTAAAAAAAACAATAATTAATCATTAAAATTTCTTTAATTTGCAAAATCAATTATTGATTAATTTTTGAATATGAATGCAAATAATTTAAACTTTTTTATTGAATTTTATATTTTACAACAAATATAATTCAGAAAATCTAACCAATTTTTTAGTAACTGTTAAACTTTTTATAATTAAAAATTCCAAAATATAGTTCTACTTGTAATTAGAGCATCAGAAAAAATATATGAAAAGAGCTGGTGTTCCATCTGCGCCAAAGTGTTAAGGACATCGTAAATAATGTTACTTTACTTTTGCGTTGTATAGACAAGTTGTTCACTTTTAACAACGTAAGGTGAGATTGCTTTGTGTTTGCTTGGTATGTTTACCTTCAAAAGACCTTAACTTCAAAAGTCTAACTTCCAAAGCATTAGCAAAGGTCAGCAAGATTTAAGTCTGGGAATCATGGAGGCCAAGCTGTAGGAAAATGACTGATGTCATACAGTAAGGGCTAATAATATGGGAGGATACTTTATAACAATGAAACAGTATTCCAAACTTGTCGAAGGATGTGATGAACGTGACATATTTTAAATGAAATGGAATAGTGTTGGAAAAACTGCTGTAAATGGTCTCTTGAAATTTTATAATTATTAAAAATGCTGACAATATAAAATTTTATCTCAATTTCTCTTGGTAATGAATATTTTCATTGCTGCAATAATTTTATTCCTATCGTACTTTTTCAATCATTTTGAACTTAAGGTATTAAGCTGAACCATTAATCAAGCAAGTATGCAAAACACTGACTACATTATAATTTGAAGAGATTTTGAATTTGAAGAGAGTATTTTTAAAAATATAGCGAATTGGAAACCATTCTAACTACCAGTATTCATAATTAAAGAAATAAAAATTGATATATTACATAATAGAAAATTAAGCATTGTAACACTAACTTCATAAAAATATTTTAAAAAATATTACATTTTCGGCTAAGATCCTTACTTTTTTATTTAAATATCTAGTTTCCAGAAATCAATTGAACAAGTGCTGCGGAATAGTTACTTTTATAACAGCAGCGAAAAGAATTTTAAAAAAAAATAACCGTAGGTTCTAAATATCTCATAATAGTTCAACAAATATATTTCAACAAATATAGTCCAGAAAAGATGTTATTATATTTACTTTGTTGATTTAAAAATATTTCTAACTAACAAAGTAAACATAATAATTAGCATGTTTTCCTTTCAAGTGACATTAAAACGTTAATTAAAGTTTATTAATCTTAAGAAAATAAGTTATTATTTTTACTTTCTGTCACTGCATATAAGGAAAACATAAACGCCCAAAGTCTTTTTGAAATATTGTTCAACAGAAAATAACCACGCCCAAAACGTGTGGGAGTTATCCCAAAGGATTTTATTAGGATTAGTACACGTTTTTGTTTCCAACAGTTTAAATGAAAGTTTTCTATTGGAAGTGCTTTCTGAAATAATTTACTTTCCAAACTTTAATTCAAGAATATTTAAATCAATACTATTATTAAGTTTAAGATCAAAAAAATATTTTATTAAAACTGAAATCCATTAAAAATTTGAACTTCTGTTCTAAGTATTAGTAAAATTTCAACAGAAGGTACAAAAACCCAATTTTAGAAATTAAAGCAATTTAGCAATATAACCCTTTGACTCAGAATTCTTAATAAACACGTTTTTCATTATTTTGTATTAATTAATGTCAAAATAAGGGGAAAATATTTTATTAGGATTTAAATAATTTATGATTTTTAAAGCAGTCTAAGGCCCCGGTGTCTTTTTTTGCGTTTAAAATAAATTTTCCAAACACGGCTCATTTCTAAAAACAATAATTTTTCAAATTTGCACTTATTTGCAGTTATTTATATCTAAAAGAAACGGTCATTCGTCATTGAAATTTCTTTAATTTACAAAAACAATTATTGATAAGTTTTTAAATATAAATGAAAAGAAAATTTCAAAATACATTTTCTTGAATTTTATGTTTTAGTACAAATATATAGTTCTGATAATCTAATAGATTTTTTTAGTAACTAGTACTGTTTTTTATAAATAAAAAATATCAAAATGTATTTTTGCTTGTAATTAGAGCGGAAGAAAAATATAAAAAAGACACCGGTGTCCCATCTACGTCAAAGAGTTAAAATGTCCTTCAATGACATAATAAAATATTATAGATTGGAAACAATCGCTTTTACTCTAAGGTGGAAGGAGTAAGACCACCCTGAGAATTCTCAAAGTCAACAAATGTCAGGAATTGACTGGCTTGGGACAGTATAAATTCACACTTTTTCCATAGGTGACTTTACATCAAACCTTGGTATTTCTTCCACGTAGGTACTTTACAAGTATGCAGAATCTTACTGCTTACACTTTATCTCTAAAAATACAATTAAAAAAGCTCTCTAAACTATGAAAATGTGGTTTAATATAACATTTCCTCAATTTCTTCAATTCTTTTTAATTTGAATATAATAGTGCATTTATTTCAATTTTCCGATTTGTATTATTCAAATTTCGGAAAAAGTGATTTTAAAAAGTATGATCCAGTGATTTCTAAAAAACAATCCGGCTTCAATCTGATCTTTCGTAATCGGTTGAACTATTACAATTTTTACAAACGACAACAGCTCTTAACTTTTTGCAAAGTCGCACTACTTTTTAGAACTTAACCGTCAAAATAAATTTTACATTTTTTGTAACTTTTGACGTCTAACGCATATTTTAACACACTTATCCAATTACCTAAGAGATTTTACAACATAGTACAAAAGTCTTCATAAAATGTTTGAAAACTGTAATAAAAAGCTACTTTGATAATTGGGGTTATTTAAAATAAGTAACAAAGATGATTTTTTTAACGGGGAACAACACTTTGATTTTAAAATATTTTCTAGTAGTATATCTAATTTTATGGATCGCATAGTAAATAAAATCATGAGTATTTATTTTTACATTATTCCCTATGTTTTGAAATTGATTCAAAATGGCTTATAAAATCAGTTGGGAAACGTACGCAGTGATCGATAGTGTAAAACAAAACGGTAACAAAACATTACTGAAATTCAAAGGCAAAAATTCTTCCGGTATCATTTATTACGTTGTGCAGTCATTTTGAAACTTGATGTTTCTACAATTATTTCAAATAAGTAAAAATCCCTGCTCCTTTTATGTACTATAAATACGCCTCAGTATTTAAAATTACTTAGAGGAATGCATTGTATGATTCAAAAACAATTTCAGTCTTTACAAATAAATTTTTTTTCTAAATATTTGTTTTTATTAGTAATATTGATTATTATTACATCAACTCGATTTATGCTTATAATTTGAAAATTCATTTTATGTTTGCTTCCAAAATCTAATGGCTGAGCCTTTCGGTTATTGTCTCGGTTATAGCCTTTTATTCTACCCTGATTAAGTCGAATGGAAAATTTTACCTATATAATAAATTTTATTAATTTACTTATTTAATTTTTGTGTTAAAAAAAAAACACAGTACCTTACAAAATACAAAAAGTAAAAGAAAAGAAAATACCACTTAACGATGGAATGCCTTTATTTGCAGAAATTAGAATTGTAAGGAACTATTTGCAATGCATCTTTTTTTTTTAATTTATATAAATAATGTTTAACACATAATAATACAAAAATAATCATATTACTTGAGATATGTGATAAAAACTTGTAGTATTACTTACACGCATGTTAAATTCATTTTTAAGATTTCTGAGTTACAACTTTAATTACACAACCAAAATTCTCAATGCTGAATTTTCATAAAAGAGTGTGTGCTGAATATGTAAGTTAAAAATTTACTTCTGTTCGTTATATGTTGAAAGTTCAATCGGTGAAAAATGAACGAGTTTTTGGGTTGAATGAAGAAAAGGACTGTTGATGATGATGTGGGGGGGATCTCTGCTACTCGCTTTTATCCCCCTTGCTGTAAGGTGTATTTTTGTGAGTTGAGTTGTTGATGCTGAAGATGAGGTGATGAGAGTGTACGCTGTTCTTGAAGAAGCGAAACAAGTTTACAGTAGAGATCAAAATTAAATATTTTCCAAAACACTTTTGGAGAGGAAGATTAGAAAAAATTAAAAACTAGCATTTGGTGGTTCCAATACTTTTGGAGAAACACGTTCATCAAAACAAAAAAATAAGAAAAACATACTCTTTTTCCCAGGCGCTCAGAGAGGCTTAAACTAAAACTTAAAAATTAGTAACTGCATTTAATTATGGATTTGAAAACTGGAGGCTAGAAACGCTTAGTTGAAATTAAAAAATCCACTAAATTTTTGAGAAGATTATCGTATTGGTTATAACTAAGAAGACGGTGAAGGGAGAGTGGAAAAACTCCGATTGAGGCGCGCAGTGTTTGTCTCTGATGCTCGAACTTTTTGCATTCAAAGAGGAGGTGGATAGCAGATTCTGGAAGTTGACAATGGTCGCACAAAGGGGAGTCTACGAGCCCTATTTTTGCATAAATTTCGTTAAGTTGGATTGTGTTGCTTCGGAGACGCGAGATTAAGATATCGTATTTTCGGTTTGGGAGTTGATTGAGGGAAGTTTTATTAACAGGGTGATCAAAGGGGAAACGCTTGTGGTATTTTGAATTAGTCCGGAGGTTACTGAGTTCGCGGTTTGAGTCTAAAACTGCTGAATATGACAAGTCTTCAGGTGAGATAAAAGAGATGGCTCGAGGGGCATTGGTGGCGTGTTTGGCCAGCTTATCAGCGGTTTCATTGGGGGGGATGCCAACGTGTGCTGGTGTCCAGGCGATCGTGATTGATTTCACTTTTGCACTTGCTGAAACTATCTTGTTTTGTAAGAGGAGGATGCTGTGAGGGGATTTATGGGTGGCTGAGATGAGGGCAGTGATTGCGGACTTACTGTCCGATAAAATAACGTAATCTAGATACTCGGTAGTGAATTTTGTGACTGCTAACCAAATCGCTAAAACTTCTCCGGTGAAAACTGAGTTAATAGGATGGATTTGAGAGATATAAGACATGTTGTTCCTTGAGTTAATAGCCGCAATACCTGTGTTCGTACTGGATTTTGAGGCATCGGTAGCCAGGATGACAAAGTCTTTCCAAAGGGTGTGGAGGGTTTCCTGATAGAGAGGGAGGATTTCGTTGGGATTTTTCGTAGTTTGAAAAGGAAGATCGTGTACAAAAAGACAGAGGTTCGGGAGATCTGTGAGGAAAACTGGAATGTGGAAGGGGATGATATTGAATTTACTTATGCCTTTTTGGCTGAAGATGTCCTGAAATTTGAGGAAAAGGTGGGGTTTCTTTTTAAGTCTAGTAAAATGGAATTTATGCAAAAGGCGATTTATTGGGGAGTGAGAGCCAAGGGAACAGTGACGGAGGTAGAATTTTTTAGCTGCTAAAACAAGTCTGTGTGAGATTGAGGTAGTGCCGGCTTCTCTGTGGAGGATA